TTTTTTTTTTTGAATATTAATGGTGAGACCATGTCTCTGACTTTATTAAAATTTAATTTAATTCTTTTACAATAAAAAAAAAAACCTTACAAAGAAAAGAATCTATTTAAATTTTATATCCTAAGATAGCAAGCAAAGAAATTTAGACCAGTTTATCTGCGGCCTAAACTATCATTAAATTATTTATAAAACTCTTTAAAAATAACAAAATTTACAAACTTGAAGTTTTCTTAAAATTATTTTAAGTTAACTACTTACACTCCTTAATAAAAACTTATTAAGCTCCTCTATACAAATATTCTGATATATAATATATTACAAACAAACTCAAACTCATTAAACTATAATAAAACTTTTTTATCTCTTCTCTTGCTGTTTATTTTAAATTTTATTAAGTAAATCTTAGTTTTTACTTATGACAAATTTAATAAACATTTTGATATATAATATGCTACAAATAGACCAAAATTAATAATTTTATATCAAGAAAACTTCAAACTCTCTTATCAAGAATACCAAATTTAATTCTAAAAACTTATTAGCAATTTTCTGAAATCTTATTGGCTTGTCCTGAAAATTTCACTTTTTGTATGCCATTAAAATTTCTTAAGACCTAACAAATTCCAAAATTTTGCTTATTTGACTTGAAAAACTTATTGGATATTTTTGAAAAACTTATTAGACTTTCTAAAATCTCACTATACTTTTTCTTTATATCTATTATTCATCCAAAAAAATTGTCTATATCTCAAGATTTTACTAAGCAAATCTTATCTAACTACTTAATAGTGATTGTTTTTGAGACCAAAATATATATAATATTAAAATCTTAGACTTGTATCTCTTAAAATCATTAAGATAATTAACAAAATATTTTATATGACCTAAACTAATTCTCAATTTTCATCTATAATTCTCAAATAAAAATTAGCTATTTCTCAATATTTTACTAAGCAAATCTTATCTGACCACTTAATAGTGATTATTCCTGAGATCAAAATATATATAATACTAAAATCTTAGAACTATATCTTTTAATCTCATAAAAATATTCAACAAAGAATCTCATAAGGTAGATATGCTTATTTTGATACAGCTAATATTTTCGATCAATATTACATGATATCAACCAGAACTAGATAATTTTAGTATCATTTGATTTGTCTTATCGAGATAAATCAAATAATACCAAAATTATCCAATTCTAATTACTAAATCATGAGATATCACTTATTAAAGATAGTCTAAAAAATATGTTTGTAATTTGATATAGTGTCTAATTTGATGCAAGTAAATGTTTATGATAGATATTATATGATGTATCAATCAGAATCACAAGATTTTGGTACTATTCGATTCGTCTCGATGAGACAAATTGAATAGTACCAAAATTTTGTGATTCTGATTAATATATCACATGATATCTATTATAAACATTTACTTGTATCAAATTAGATATATCACCTTGGCTATTTTGGTTAAATTGTGTATCTCAAAAACTATTAATCAGAATCATATGATTTTGGTACTATTTGATTTGTCTCGATGAGATGAATCAAATAGTATCAGAATTATATAATTCTGATTAATAGTTCTCAAGATATCATCATGCATCAAATTAAGAACTATGCCAAATTAGGTATATATACCTTATAATCTAAATTTTTTCTCAAAATTTATCTATATTTGCTCAAAGAAAATTGACTATATCTCAAAATTCTTTTAAGAACCTTACCTAACCTCTTAATAGAATTTGTTCCTAAGATCAAAATATATATTATAGTGAAATCTTAGAGTCATATCTTTTAAACTCATTAAGAAAATTAACAAAACATCCTATATTAAAGAAAAAATTATATATACTACTTACTATTACTTTACAACATGTCACAAGCAGATATATCTCAATGCTGATTTTTCTATCATTAGCTTACTACTTATCAGTCTTCCAATAGTAACTCTTCTAATACAAATTTAGACCAACCTCTTGATTGGTTCAAACACTTTTCAGTTTCAACAACAAATAGCCTTTTTCTATTTATTCAAGCAACAATTCAAATAATAAATTTTTTAAAGCCTTTTCTTAAAAATTTCTATCTGGGTTCAATTATTCAGCCAGAAGCAAATAATAAACCAGCTCTTAAAAATAACTTTGACCTTCTAATTCGTACAATAGCCCTTCAAAAACCAAAATTTATTATAAATTTTATTTGAAACCAAAACCTTCAAGTTACTGAACCTATAGATATTTCTCTTAAAATTATTCTTGAAACTCTTAAAAAATCAATTGTAGCAATTACTACTATTCTTTTTAAACACTCCAACTACCCAAAAATATTTAACTTCTATCTTTTTATCCCTCTTTACTCTATCAAGAAATGATTTCAAATTATTATTAACTTGGCCAAACTTCACCTTTTTTTAATAATTAATACAAAACTATCAATCACTAAAAATTTTATCAAGATTTAAAACTTAAACCAATTTATTTATGAACTTTTTTTTATATTAGCTAAATCCAAGATACAGATTTAAATACACCTATATTACAAATTTGCAACACTTCTAAATTTCATATTAATATCTCTATAAACAAAAATTTTTAACAACTTATTATATTCCTTCTTTTTTTTTATTTTCAACAGAATTTAATAAGTGGTTTTAAAAATTTTTCAAACATTACAAAAAACAATTTAACACTATTAACGAACAAAAAGTCTACAACTATATCAAATCTCAAATAGTGAAAACTTATACAGAAAATCATATTCACAGTAGCACATTTAATAATATTTTACATATTTTGATAGTATTAAGTTTACAAAGCAAACAAAGGCAAATTTTATATAATAAAATAATAATTTTATTAAAAAATATACAAATAACAAAATATTATTTACAAAAAAAAATTACATTGAATGATAATGTTTAAAATTTCTATCTATAAAAAATATTAATTCTTTTATATTAAATCACTCTGAATTTTTATCTGTAATAATCTAACCATGTTCAATATCAGTCTTATTTTCAAAATCAAATACTCTAATTTCATCATTTCTAATAGCTTTAACTTTAAATTCAGTTAAAATTTCTTGTTCTTGTTCTAGATTTTGAAGAACAAGAGTAATAATATCTTTTAAAGTTGGTCTTTCTTTTAATATATTAGCAATTTCTGTAAGATATTTTGGTTTAAAAAATTTAAGATATTTAAAACCAGGATATTTGAAGAAGCTATTTTAAAAATAATATTATCAAATTTGTTATCTTTAAGAGATTTGAAAAAAGTTTCTTGATATTTTTTAATTAAAGAAAGCATTTAAATTTTAATAATAACTAAAAATTATAAAATATATTAATACAAGGTTTTCTTCATACATATTTGCAAGCTGTAGCAATCTGAAAATATAACTTAGAATCTGAGTCAGGTTCTCGAAAAATAATAGAAATTATCTTTGTTAAAATGAAACTTAGAATAATCTTCTATTTTTCTAGTATAGCATAATTTGAAACTATAATTACTAAATAAAATAAACTTTGCCAACTTACTTTTTTCTTTTTCTAAAAAATAAAAATAAATAATAAGTATCATTGTTATCATTGATATCAACTATAAACTAATGCTAGTAAAACCACTATTTACATTTATAGAATATTATATTCTACATAAGCAATTCAGTTTTGCTATTAGCAAAAAATCTCATAGCGTAACTTCCAATATAATATAATTCTAAACAAAATACTTAGTAAATAAATATTTACCTTCAATAAATATAGTTTGTAGATAATTTTTAATTAAATATATCCAAAAGCAGATATTAACTATAATAAAAATTAAATATCCTAATATAAAAGTAAAGAAAAATTGGGTTGTATATATAACTTTAAAGAAAAATAATAGAATATCAAATTCTTCAATATAAACAGATAACAAAAATCCAAAAACAATAAAAACAATAATAATTGAATATATAAAGAAATAATTTTTAAATGATATTTTAGATAAATTTAAGAAATTTTTAAAAAAAAATTAGAATTTAGAAGCTTTGTAATGCTAAAATCTAAAGTTTTTATTTACAAACAAAAAATATTTGATTGGTTCTTATAATCTATTTATTTTTAAACTATTTACAAATTTATAATAAAATGATAATATATTTGTCAAAAATAATTGTTTCTGTGCTTGCCATATGGTATTCTCTCAGTAAATTTAAAATAAACAATATATTTTGTCAATTAATATATAAATTAATAAAGTAAATTTAAAATAAACAATATATTTTGTCGATTAACATATAAATTGATAAAGTAAATTTAAAATAAACAATATTATATAAAAATTTATAATAACAATATATTTGTTAATCATTAATATATTGTTATTGTAAATTTACAATAACAATATATTAATGATTAACAATTATATTGTTATTTTATGTAATATTTTAAAAAAAATTGTAAAAAACTCAAAAAGCATTATATAAAAAATTAAATTTTTTGAAAAAACTTCGCCAATCAAAATTAAATATATAATTAACATTTTTGTTTATGTAATTAATAATCTATAAAAAAATTTTTGTTATTTTTTTTATTGTTTTATATATCTTTTTTTTGTATCTTGCTTTTCGATAAAAAGTTAGTATATATTTTTTTATTTTTTTTTATTTTTTTTTTTCTATGATTAAAAAAAAATAGTTAGTAATATTTCTTTTTTCTATTAATAACTATTTTTTGTTGCTTAGTTAGTAACATTATTTTAACGTTTTTTCTTTTTTTGGCTGGTTCTCTCTCGTGTTTCAGACTTTATAAGAATATTTTTTTATTTTTATTTTTTTATTTTTTAAATAAGTACTAACTTTTTTATTTTTTTAATATAATTTAGTATTGATATCGAGAAAATAAATAATAATTTTTAATAAAAAATTTGTTTTTTTTGTTTTTTTTTTATTTTAAATATATATTTGTAAATTAAATATTTATTAATAAAATAATAATAATAATAATAATAATAATAATAATAATTGTAATAAATAAAAATTTTATATAATTTTTAATAAAAAAATAAAGATTACTAATTCCATAGCACAACATTTGTATGGTTAAAAAAAAAAGCAATGTAGATATTATATTTTGTTGTTTGTAATTTGCTCTGTAACTATGTTGTGTTATTTCTTAAATTGTTAAATAAATTTCTCTGTGATCTTGTTTTTTCTCTATACTAAGTATAAATTATGTATAAACAATATTCAAATCTAATAATTGGTTTAATTAATTTAGGTTTAAAATAATATTTAGTTATATCAAAATTATTTTGAAATAAATAAAAATTTTTAGCTAATTTAATAATAAGAGCTTTAGAATCATGAGAATTTAGAATTTCATGAAGAATTTTTCTATATTTTTTATATAAGCTGTTTGATCTTAACATCTTACTTTGTATACATGTATCCATAATATTTTCTAATTTTTTACAAATAACAGAATCAAAATTAAAATTAATCGATAAATTTTCTTTATATGGTAAAATATCTAAAGGAGTAATAAATGTTTTGTTATATTTTTGTTTAATCTATTTCAGAAGTTTTTTAAAATTAATTAATTTTTTAAACTCTTTCTTTGAAAATATTTGTATTTTGTCTTGATCTAATATATGAATAAAATATTTTTCTAATTTAATTATTTGAAAATAAAATTTTAGATTTCTCTAAATATAGATCCGATTTAAATTTGAATTTGCTAAATTTAATAGATAAATTAATCATATATTGATTTGAATTAAAAGAACTTAGAATTTCTTCATGTATTTTGTTATATTTAAAACCAATTTTGTTATTATTTAAAATTTTTAAATTGACAATAAAGAAGTATCATATCTATAATTTGAATAAATTTTTTATATAGTACTAAATCATCTTTTACTAGAACAAATTCATCTAACTAATTTAAAGATGTAACTAAATCCCAAATATTCTTTTTTGATTTTCACCAAGGCTGAACTTTTAATTAAATATCTGAGAATTTTGTATAATTTAAAGTTCTGTTTTTTTTGTTTTCTAAATATTCTTCATGTTATGCATGTGCTTTTCTAATATAATATCTGTCTAATTTACTTAATTTTTTAAGTTTTCTTCACTTAAATAATATATAGCCATTGTGAAAAAAATTATTTAATAAAGTTCGATTTAGCTATATATATATTTATTTAATTATTTAAGAATCTTATAAGAATCTTCTAGAACAATAGATGAAGCAAAAGCAGAACAAGAACCTATCAATATATTTAAACAACAAATTGAAGATTTGATCAGAGAGAATGATGAGTTAAAACAAAAAATGAAGAATTAACAGAATTAAATCAAAAATTAGAAAAAATAAATAATATACAAATTTTATTATTAAGAGAAGCACTTGATAAAGCTTAAAGCATATTTAAAAATAGCTACAACTAATAATCAAATTACTGATCTTAATCTTAAGGAAGCACTCAACAAATTATTCTTAATATCTACAAATCTATATATTTTAGCCAGAATTATTGTCTACTACAATATTACTTAAATCTCTAAACTAACTATTGCAAACTTTAAAAGAAATCTCAAGAAATTATATTTTAACCAAGCAAACTAATACTTAATCAAAAGTTCAAGATCTCTGTTCCTAATATATCATATACTAATTTTATAGCCACAAATTCTAATACTCAATAACAACAACAACAACAACAATATCATTATCAACAACAACAACAACAACAACAACAACAACAACTGATCAGTTCTACTACAAAATCTAAAACTTCTAAAATTAGCAAACAACAACAACACTATTCTAATAAATCTACTATGAAATTTACAATTCCTAACATTAATAAAAACCTCTTTCTAATTTAAAACTTATTTTATATTTTATACCTTAACATTTTAACTATATATCTTTATATATTCTATTATCTTCTATATACTTTATAATTTTATACACTAAATATAGCCTAGTATTCTTTATTATATCTTATAACTTTATACTATTAAATACACAAATCTTATAGTTTAGCCTTACTTTTAAATTCATTCAACTAAATACTCCATTTACCTATATTTATTTGTTCTTAAAAAAATCTAGATGAGTCTTTAACTACTTTAGTAGGTTTAGATTGTTGATAAAGTAGTTTGAGCTTTTATTCTTGTATGTAGTTTTAACTTTTTATATTTTATATATTAAGGTTAGCAACTCATTGTAGATACTATAAATTAATAAAGATATGAGCAAAGCCTCACCTTAATACCAAAAAAAAATAAGTGTAATGTAAGACTTTTGGCTAACCTTCTCTCTCTAAAATATTATATAATATCTGTCAGCACTCTAACTATATAAATTACTAAGCTTTATATACAAATTATATAAAAATAAAAATTATAAATTAAAATAAAAAAACTATAAACTCTTTCTGTAAATCTCTTACACAAAATTAATCTAAAATGATGCAAGTTACTAACTTTTCTCAATGATTACTTGTACCAAATTTTCTCTAAAAATAATCACTCTATTCTCTAAATTTTACTAAATAAACTTACTTTGGCCGCCTATGTAAAACTATTCTATAGTAAATTTTACATATAGGTGGTCTAGCTTTAAACTTCTAAAGCTCTTCTCTACAAAATTATAACTACTGTAATTTTTAAATTTTACTTCAACAGCCAAAACTCAAAATTCTATTATTGTATTGTTGTGAAATAACATGCAGAGGTAAAATTACGAATTTTGGTCTAAATTAGGCTTAATTAGACCATTATTCTAAATAATACCCATACCCATTATTTGTGAAAATACAGTAAGTCAACATTCAATGTTCTTTAATACAAAAAGATTAAGATTATCAATAGCTTCATTTTGATATATAATATACTAAAAATAGACTAAATTTGACAAAACTATAATCAAAATACTTTCAAACTCTGTTATAAAACTATATCTAGTTTTTACAAAAATTTTTTCTATTTTTTGGAGATTCCTGTCTCTCTAAGATACACAAGATCTGCAAATCCACATTACTAATCAATATTACTAATTAATTTATATAATACTATATTTGTTTCATCTATTTTTATACAAAATTTATTTTACTATTTTAGTTTTAGTAAATTTATACAAACTTTATTCTATCAATATACAAGTTATACCATTATACTTGATTACACTAAGCCACACCAGCCACACTTGCTATATATATTTTAACTTTTAGTTATGCAAGGTTATATATAAAGCTACACAAGCCACTCTTTAAATAACCCCTATTATTTACATATCTTTAACCCCTAACTTATAAATTTTATACCCAAAAAAAAAACAGAAATTTTAATTGTTATTTTAACTTTTACTATTATTTTAACCCATATAAAAAACTTAGAATAATTTTTACAACAAATACAAAGCTTACAAAAACCAACTATTAAATATACTTATAGTCTTCTTTAAAAAATGTCTCAACATAGATTTTTTTACTATTTATCTAAACATGACCAAACTAGCTTAATTAATAATACTTTTGACTGATTTCTTGCTTTTTTAATTAATACTGAAGCAGAAAAACAAACTCAACTTCTAACACCTCTTGGTACTCAAATTCTTGACTTTATTAAACTATTCCTTTTAAATTTTTTGTCTTGGTCAAATTATTCAACCTGAAGCTCCTAACCAACAAGCTACCAAAAGTAACTTAGATGATTTATTACAATATATAGCTTCTCAACAACCACAATTTCTTATTGATTTTATCTATTAAAACAAAATCAATGATTACAATACTAATATATCATCTAATTATCTTTTATTTATTTTAAGAAATATCTTATTCAACTTTATTACTGTTCTTTTTACAAAACTCAATTATAAAAAATTATTTCATTTAAATTATTTTTTACTTCTCTATTATATTTCTAAATATTCTTAAATTGCAATTAATCTTGTTTGCTTATACCTTTTTCTTCTAAATCAATACAAAACTATTAACTATATTAAATTCTTTAAAGATTGATCTTAAACCTATTTATATGTCACTTCATTTTAATACTATATTTAATAATTCTGATCAATTACTCCTTAAAATCAAAAATGATGCCAAATACAATATTTATATTATATTTGATATTTCTTTACAAAATTTTTTAAAAACCTTTTATATTCCTTTTTTAAAACTTACTATACAATATTGACAAATGGTTCTTAAAATTTTTTAACTTGCACAAACAACAATTTCTACACATTAATCAACAAAAAGTTTATAACTTTATTAAACATTAAATTATTAACTATCTTTCTAATAAACTTAAAAAACTACTTCCAAACTTCTACCAATTTTCTACAGTTAACTCACTACAAGAAAAAACAAAGGCTTCAATTAAGATATCACTATACTATATCTATACTTGTACAAGCAACACATGCACTATTCTTTTTAACGATACTCCTCATACTTTTAAAATTTTAACTTCATTTTACTTTTATAACTCTTTCAAAACCCATATCTACTTTTATTTAAATTTCACTATTTTTCAACCAAACCAACCTCTAACTGCTACCTTCTCAAAACCCTTTCTATTTGAGTCTTTAAAAAAATTAGCTAACTTAGCAGAATAGCAATTTATACAACTTAATAATACTTCTGCAAATTTTAAGCATAAATCTTTTTTTACTATATTTATTTAAAATACTATCTAATAGCCATTGTAAAAATAACAACATTAACTCTAGTCTCTTCAAAACATTTTTATTAAAACAACTGACCCATATACTTTTGCTAAAATTATATTCTATTTTGATATTATACAATTCTCCAATTTGCCAATTTCTCAAATTAAATACAAATATCACCAATTCTATCTTCTACAAGCATTACAATATATTTCTAAAAAACTTCAAACTTCTAAAGTTTCTACCAATCTCTTTTTTTCTTAATAAAAAATTTTAGATACTGCTTTTAAAGGTCTTTTTTGTCCAACTAACACAAATCTTCATCTACTATATCTACTTATACTTATTCTTCCTCAACTTACTATTATTTATATAAACTTTTAACAACTTATCTTTTTTATTATTATTAATTACAATCCTATTTTATCTACTATATTTTATATTATTTTACCTTTATACAAAATTATAATATATACAATATTAGCCAAAATTTGTCAAATAATAGTAATTTGAGCAAATAAACATGTGTCACTTTGTAGCATGTGAGCTAATTATTTGCTCAGTTGAGCCAAATTATCATATTTGACAAATTGCCTAATATTGGTATTATTTCGTAATTTATGATCATAATTAGTAGAGAGTTATCACTGAGTTTTTAATTTAAATAAACATGATTACATCGTAATATAAAAAAAAAATAACAAGACAGATGGCAATTTATGATCATAAGAGTTTGCTAGATCAATAAAATTAAATG